CCCTGCGCCACAGCGCCGCGCAGCCGCACGTCCGCAGGCCGGGGCGAGACAGGCCGGCAGGGGAGCAGCTCGGAGGGGCGCACGCGTCTGCTCTCGCCAGCGGCCAGCAGCTCACTCCCACGGCCCTATGAGGCCTGCACGGGGGCTGGGAAACGCTGCCTGACTTCCGATGGTCCTATGCCCAGGAAAAGCGTCATGTTGTACGTTTTTTCACTTCAAAAAGGAGAAGAGACACAGCAGGTGCCAATTAGCAGCTTCTGGCACTTTCCTCCTAGAAGAAATGATGACCTGAAGCCAGAACTGAGGCATTAAGTGAATTAGGGTCATTGATAGCATGAGGGCACATATCTAGAGGGTTCCCACTAGCCAGAGGTCAGGAATCCTGTTTTTTCAGGGCACCTTTTCCTCGTGCCAGCGCAGGAAATACATCCCCAAAGGTTGCTCTGCGTCACGTCCCTTCAGTCATCTGCTAACACATTCTTCTAAGCAGGCACAAAGCTGCAGGATACAATTTTAAATGAAAAATCCTATTATCTTAAGAATACACCTTCAGTGTTTCCCAGATTTCTAGTTTATCCATTATTCCTTAGGGTCAACTGTCCTCCTTTGTAACCACAGAATGAGTTTATTATTTTTCTTGATAAGACTTAAGACAACTAGAGAGCATTATTCACTTTTATCTCAGGTAAGACACTTTTATAAATGGACAATTTCACTGATAGATGTTAATCTCTTTAAAATGGCGCTATTGTCAGAATAACCTAATTAAGGGTTTGAGGAGGGGGTGAGAAGACAGCATGCTTTTGTCCCTCCATATTCTGATCCGTTCTGTAAAGCTTCAGTTTTAGAACTCAATTACTTGTCTGATCTTTGATGAGTTACTTTTCTGGGCCTTTGTCTATCTATTTGCTGAGACGTTAGGGTTAAGTAGGTGATTTTTTAAAAAACTGAGGCATGGGGCGCCTGGGTGGCTCAGTGGGTTAAGAGTCCGACTTCAGTTCAGGTCATGATCTCTCGGGTCGTGGGTTAAAGCCCCACACTGCGCTGTCAGCCTGTCAGTGCAGAGCCCACTTCAGATCCTCTGTCTGCCCCCCCCCCGCCCCTTCCCTGCTTGCACTCTCTCCAAAATAAATAAATAAATAAATATTTTTTAATAAAAGTTGAAGTATAATTGACAAAACTGTAAGGCACTGAAGTGTACAATGTGACGGTTTGATATACGTACACACGGGAAAACAGTTCTTCCCAGCATGAAAGTTAACACCTCTGTCACCTCATTTATTTACTTTGTGGCGTTTTTTGGTGAGAACACTTACTTAAATTCTACTCTCTTGGCAGAACGGACCCCTCCTGTAACCGAGCGCGTAGCGCATGCCCCTTGAGCGCTCTCTCCCCGCTCCCTGCCCGGCAGCCACTCTCCCAATCTCTCTCCAGGGGTCCAACTTTCTTTTCTTTACACTCTACATGTGAGTGGCACCAGGCAGTACTTGTCATTCTCTTCCTGGCCTAATTCACGGGGCACAGTGCCTTCCAGGTCCACCCATACCCACAAACCATGGGACTTCCTTCTTTCTTTTTTTTAACGGCTGAATAATAACCCATTGTATACACACCACATCTTCATCCGTTCGTTCACTGACGGACACTTCGGTGATTCCACAGCTTGGCTCGGAGAGAACGCTTCCACTTCGAGTACACACCCGGAAGTGGAACGGCAGGATCAGAGGGTAGCTCTAGTTTCCATTTTTCTGAGGCAGCTCCGTCTGTTTCCCTGGTGGCTGTGCCCGTCCGTGCTGCCGCCGTCGCTGGGCAAGGTCCCCTTGCCCCACACCCTCACCCAGCCTCCGCTGTCCCGTCTTTCGGAAAACAGATGCCCTAGCAGATGTGGGACGACATCTCACGGTGTCTGACGGCGTTTCCCTGAGGACTAGTGAGGCGGTCGCCTCTTCTTGGGTTTCGTTGCTGGGAAAATGTCTACTTGGGGCCTTTGCCCATTTTGGAATTAGGTTATTTGGGGGTTTCTGCCCCTGAGCTGCATGAGTTCCTGGCATATTTTGGATATTAACCCCTTATCAGAACATGTGGTTTGCAAATAGTTTCTCTCGCTCCTTAGGTCGCCTTCTCACTCTGGTGGCGGTTTCCTTGGCTGTGCAGCGGTTCTCTCGTTTGGCGTAGTCACACTTGTTTAATTTCTCTTTTGCGGCCTTTGCGACTGGTGTCACATCCAAAAAAGTCTGTATTTTGTGTGTTTCCATTCTGATCTTTTAATTTACCTCCTTCTGCTAACTTTGGGCTTAGTTTGTTCTTAATTTTCTTTTAAGAAAGGTAGATGATTTTTAAGATTACAATCTTGTGTCTCCCACCTTTTTTCTGCCTTTATTTTAACTGAACATTTTACACGATTCCATTTTCCTCTCCTCTCTTAGCATGTCAACTCTTCTTTCTTTTTCGTGGCTGCCCTAGAGTTTGCTATAAACATGTACAACCCAAGCCCACTTTCAAAGAGCGCGACACGACTTCTCCTAGTTTTCCTTCAGTCTCACATATCCTGGACTGGGCACCAGAAAGCCCTGCAATCCAGAATCATCAACAGGCATACACGACAAACAAACAAGACAAAAATTTTAAAAACCCTCCAGGCCTGCTCTCTGAGGCCAGAGGAGCAGAAAAGGCGAGCCTAGCACAGACGGAGCAGAGGACCCCCACTGGAGCTGCGGGCTGGCCCACCATGCCGGAAGCAGAGGTTTTCAGTGAGGACCAGATGGGAACTGCCACCCTCCGCCCGCACCCAGCGCCTGCCCCGCCCGCACGGCGGCACCAACAGCCCAGGCAGCACCTCTCGCCCCGAGCCGGCCGCACACGGCGACCCAGGCCCAGTGCTCCGCGGCACTGCGCACGGGCACCAAGGACAACCCAGGCCCAGCGTCTTCCAAATGTCCGCCCAGCAGCAAAAGGTGGCCCAGGGAAACGCCGTCATCCCGACAGGCCATGCCCGCAGACGATGAATGAATGGAAGCCCCGCGGGCACCAGGTGGCCCGGGCCACAGCACGGGCCCAACAAGGGCTCACGGACCCACAGGGCAGCATCCGTCTCCCGCCTGCCACCCGGCAGCACCAGGTCTGGGGGGTCGACTCTGCTCTCCACGCAGTGTCGGCAGGAGGAGCAGCGGCCCTGCAGCGCCAGGGGGACAAAACAAGCCAGGACAGCGCTGATGGCTCCAAACACCCAACTGTCACTGGAACTACAGCCCACAGACGTAGACTCGGTCTTCGATTCTAACCCTAAACTGACCAAATACCTGCTAAAACATCCATCTAAATGGGATCAAGAGTCTCCTAACATGAGATGCAAGATGTCCCGGATGCAATTTAAACATCACTCGTCATACCAAGAACCAAGAAGAACTCCAATTAGAGAAGACAATTAACTGACATCAACACCGAGATGAATCAGATCTTGGAATTCATTACCTGACAAGAACCGGAAAGCAGCCATTATAAAAACGCTTCCATGTGAGTCTGGGATTATCAGAACAAATGAAAGATAGAAAATCTCACCAAAGAAATAAAATTGATAAAAAAAAAAAAAAAGAATCAAATTATCAAAAAGATTATAAAAACACTGAAATACTCAATGGGTTCTATAGTAAATGCAGAGGACAGAATCAGAACTTGAACACATCAATAGAATCCACTCAGTCTGAACAGAGAAAAAAATAGGATGACAAAAATTGAACTGCGCCTCAGGGCTTACAGTATAGTAACAAAACAGCTAACATTTGTATTAGCAGAGTTCCAGAAAAGAGGAGGAAAAAACAGCTTAAAAAACTATCCAAAGATACAGAGGCTGAAGACTTCCCCGACTTGGTAAAAGACAAAATCCTACAGATTCAGGGAGTTTGGGAACCTCGAACAGAATATACCTAAAGAAGTCCACACAAGTCCACAGCAAGACATCATCGTTAAACTTCAGAAAAGCAAAGACAAAAACTCTTGAAAGCAGCCAGAGGAAAACACAATAGAACACGAGTTCAAATGACAGACTTCTCATGTGAAGCCATTGAGGCCCGAATTAAGGAGCACAGCACCTTTCAACTGCTGAGCGAAAAGCAATGTCAATAGCAAATTCTTATATCCAATGAAATTACCCTTGAGAATGACCAGGAAAAAAAGGTCTGATATGCAGGAAAGCTAAATCCAGGGATTAAACAGATCTGAGTGACACAGAAAGAGTCATCACTTGGAGTCTTATCTGCACCCAAGGAATGGCTGGATACAGCCTGGAATACCTGGACTGTAAAATGGTAGACAGCTTTTTACATTAAACAAAAAAAAAGCTTTAGTAAAAAGCTGTTTTACAAAGAGCTTTTAATAATTTGAGAAAATACTTGGGGCGCCTGGGTGGCTTAGTCGGTTAAGCATCCGACTTCAGCTCAGGTCATGATCTCGCGGTTCGTGGGTTCAAGCCCCGCGTCGGGCTCTGTGCTGACTGCCAACTCAGAGCCTGGAGCTTGTTTCAGTCTGTGACTCCCTCTCTCTCTGACCCTCCCCTGCTCACGCTGTCTCTCTCTCTCTCTCTCTCCTAGAAATAAAACATTTAAAAAATAATAATCATTTGAAAAAATACTCAAGATAAAATATTAAAAATGCACAATAGAAGCAAGACTAAATTATAAACACAGTTTTGTTCTGAATATCTTGTAGGCACATAAAAAACCAGAAAGAAATATTACAAAATGTTGTCAGGGATTCCAATGATTGCCCCCGACAGGAAATTATGAATTCTTCCTGTTTTTTTGTATTTTCCAATTAAACTATTTACTGTTTCAGCGCCTGCTAGCTGTGCATTAAAACCCTACCCACAAAGTGCTGACACTCGTGATTCAGAAAGCCACGAGAGCATTCGGAGACTAAGACGAGTTCTGGGGAAGAGTGGCCTCGGGGAGTGGCCGGGGCGATGGGCTGCGGCGGGACGAGCGGGACGAGCAGGTGGCGCGTACCTGTGAATCTGCCCGTTCTTGTGCAGGTACTCCAAGCCTTCCAGCACTTCTCTGAGAATTGTGGCAATGGCGGCCTCATCCAGGACCCCACTCTTGTGCTCCCCCTTGGCCACGATGTGCTTAATAATATCTAGAACAGAACCTAAGGACAGAAGACAAAATTTGCCATCAACTTTTGACTCATTTACTATACTTTGGAGCCATTCTGAAACCAAACCAAGGTAAACTTTCTCACGAACTTAATTGTATAGGAAAGGAAAAAACAGCAAACGCAAGGAAATACAGGAGTTCACAATTAATAACTTTTCTCAATTTTAATCTAAAACAGAAAGCACCTATTATCCAAATAGCAGTGTTACACCAGCACTGCCTTTAGACTTCTTAATAAGAATTTGGAAAAGGTGGTAGAGGATTTTTAACCACATCTAAAGAATCCCGTCTATAACACGTTATTATAAACTACCACAACTAACTCAAGTTTCTGATACCGGATCAGATTATGCAACACCATATGATTAAATATATAAAATACAATTGCAATACAGGTCAGATTACAGAAGAAATACAGGTTAAAATTAATTTTCAGTTTATCTTTTTAAAAAATTTATTATTTTTTTAAATGTATGTTTGTTTGTTTTTTTGTTTATGTCTTTATTTTTGAGAGACAGAGTGCAGGAGGGGCAGAGAGAGAGGGAGACACAGAATGTGAAACAGGCTCCAGGCTCTGAGCTGTCAGCAGAGCCCAACGTGGGGCTCAAACCCATGGACTGTGAGGTCATGACCTGAGCCAAACTTGGATGCTTAACCAACTGAGCCACCCAGGCGCCCCAATGTTTATTTATTTTTGAGAGACAGAGCGTGAGCAGTAAAGGGGGAGAGAGAGAGAGGGAGACACAGAATCTGAAGCAGGCTCTGGGCTCTGAGCCGTCAGCACAGAGCCTGACATGGGGCTCGAACTCCCGAATCGCAAGATCATGACCTGAGCCGAAGTTGGATACTTAAGTGAGTGAGCCACCCAGACACCCCTTAATTTTCAGTTTAATAAATAATAAGTACAGCAAAGAAAACAAAAAAAATGAAAGGATAAAAACAGCAGCTCTAAGTAACAGCCACGAGGTCTGAGCAACCCCACTCTTCCAGGATCAGAAATAACGCTCCGACTAAACTCTGGGGGAGAGTGGGAGAGACACCTACGTACCTATGAATTAAAATCATAGTCTTGACTGCCATTCCTGATTATCGTAATAAAAAAGTTTGCTAGAGATTTGTAAGACTTCAGGCAATACCATGGCCCATAAAGATGACAGAATCAAAACAAAACAATCTTCAAGATTAGAACTTGTACCAAGAAGTAGAATATAACAACTGCACAGAAAAGACTGGATTTCCAGTTCTTGGGACAAGACCCCAATGATTGAGACTAAAATTAAAACACAAACGTACGCTGAAAAGTTGCCCTGGTGGGTGCTTTCATTCTGCACACCTCACAGGAAAAAAGTGTGCTTGCAAAACCCTCCAAAACATGGAGCATGGAGCACACATTCACTTCAGCTCCCACTTGAAATCCACTAACTTGATAAACTGAATAAAACAGCCATCAGCCCAGGATGAAAAAGAAAATGGAAGATAAAGAAAAGAGACGATCATTTTTTTGGAGGAAGGAAAACAGAAAAAGCGACCTAAGCAGAGAGAAATCTGAACGCCCACCGCCCGTGGAGGGGTGTGCCGATCAGGGGACAGCGCCCCCCTAAAGGGTGCACGCGCCAGCACTGCCTGCGGGGATGAAGGAAAGCGCCAGAACCAGGAAAGCTGGCTAAAAACCATGGAGTGGGGAAGAAGATGCCCACACCCCCTCGCTCTGGAAGCCAGAGCTGCCACCCTCACGTCCAGCAAGAAGAAGGCAGGTGACTTTCTGGAGACGATGAACCGGGGAGGCGCCGTTCTCGAACACACTGTCGCACTCTCCCCGCTTTGCTGCTGGGATTCACAAGGCTGGGCTCACACGCGGGGAGGCCTGACGGAGACATTCTGTTCTGCTTGGTTTAATCAATCACATATCGCCAACCACATATCAACATCCAAAGCAAAGTCACTCTACCAACAGGCCACATGTCTCACTTTCTCTGAGAAATCGGCCACGTAAGAACTGCTTAGTAAGAAGACACTTGTATCAATGCCAGTTGAGTTACCTGCTTGTAATGCAAAGCAGATCTATGATAAGGAATGCGAAGGGAATTAAAAATTAACATGGTTTACTCGTTCAACGACGTGGCCGTAATCTAGAACTGGGCACCGCCAACTATGTGAAGATACGCGCGGTGCAGCTGCTGACCTGACCCTCTGGGGCTTCCAGTCTGGCGGGTCAAGAACCCGGAGCAGCAAAGACCTAGGGCACATAAAGTTACTAGATCTGTGTTTTTAAAGACTTTGAAGCAGGAACTCCTCTTTAAAACCTTAAAGGATTGTTAATGATTTCACACCACCAATCATCGATGGGGAAATTACAGCAGTGAACGTCCCCAGTCTATGTCTGGAACAGACATCTTTAACAAGCTATAGAAGCCCCTCTTTCACGCCAGGATAATTTCTTGTCCACTTCAGTCTCCCAACAGTAACAATTTTTATCGGTGGAGGGATAATGGCGCCTCCAAGGCCCTTATCTTTAACTGATAAACTTGGTCCTGGAAAGTACCCACTTGTTTCCATCCGACTTCTTCAGCATCCCGCAGCGTCCATCACGACAATGGGGCTTATAATCCTCCGTCCTCAAACATCCAAGCTACGTGGAAGTCTTCATATCGACTAAGAAAGGTGAAGGTAAAATACGCTAAGCCAAAGAAGACTGCAGATTATCACTGGATGATTCTACTAACACCTAAAAAAAAATTTAGGAATAAAAAGGGAAGGCTAAAACAGCATGCAGTCTTCTATCCTCGGGCACAATCCGGAAAAAATACTCTCCAGGGATTATCAGATCTCAAACTTTAACACAGGCAAACTAGTTAAAAATGCAGATTTCCGGATCTCACAGACTGCCATTCAAGAGATAAGGGAGGCCCAAGAAGGCGTATTTTAACAACCGAGCCTACGAGATGGCATTTCTGAGTCAAAGCAAATAGAATGGAAAACAAGAGGGAACGAGCGCAACTCGGGCAACAAAGTGAAAAGTTAAAACGTAAACACCTGTTCCAAAAACCCATCTCCTGTCCGCTTCCCTAGCCTACGGCACAGAACGTTTAAAAAGCAATGCAACACTTCTACTGTCCAAGAATATCGTTACTAAATATTAAAATAATATTGAAAAAGTAGCAAAGGAGCTGCGGGGGGGGGGGGGGGTTAAGGCACTTATTAACCCTCGTGATTACACGAGGCTCAATCACCTTATTCACTCGACATGTTTATTGCCCCAATTTACTTTTATAAAAAAACACTCTGAATCCAAAATTAGCTCATTTTAGTTACCAGAATTTCTGCCAAGAAGCTTTAACCAAGATTAAGCCACCGGATTTTGTTTGTGTCTTTCTGAGACATGGAAGGTTTCAAAGGGGTCAAATGTGCTTCAGCTGAATATTGCACTTCAGACAGCAGACGTGCCCTGCACTGTCGCCTGAACCGCCAAAGCCGGTCCCCGACTAACACCAGCATTTTACTCGGGTCCTGCTCAGATCAAAGATGTTCCCAGGCTGGGGGCGCCTGGGGGGCTCAGTTAAGGAAGCTCAGTTAAGCTTCCAACTTCAGCTCAGGTCATGATCTCCCGGTTCTTGAGTTCAAGCCCCACGCCGGGCTCTCTGCTGTCAGTACGGAACCCGCTTCTTACCCTCTGCTCTCCTTTTGCTCTGCCCCTCCCAACTTGCTCTCCCTCTAAAATAAAAATAAAATAACCTTAAAAATAAAAAAGTTCACATACTATATGTTTTAGAAGATGACAAAGTTGAGAGCACCTCTGAACAACAAAATAGTTCACGAAGACAGTGAACTCAAGTTCTATTTCTGCATTGCTACAATCCATCACTCTCAGTCTAACAGGTAAGCCTCTCTCTCCTCCTCTCAGGTTTCTTAATTACTTTGATTTCTAAAACTCTCACATTCTAGTTTGGTGCTAATAAACTACACAAATAGCCCTTTAGATCAGAACTGCTTCTAACTTCTGAAGATTAACTTCCTCTAATTTCTGATGGTTAACTCCCTGTATTAAAATCCCAACATTCAGCATCAGAGACTGGTTCACAGAAGAATATTACAGTTATAAGGAAGTATTAAGAAATGACTATCATATTGACACATGAAATTAAACTTATTTTAACTATGATGTCCACGTGGTTGATGGGAGTAAGAGTGACCGCTGCAATTCAGTTTATGACATAATAAGCTTATTAAATTCTACATCAGTGCACGTTGTTAAGTGAAAAATATGCTTCTGGTTTTTAAAAAAAGTTTATTTATTTGAGAGACAGAAAGAGAGAGTGCAAGCAGGGGAGGGGCAAGGAGAGAAAGGGACAGAGGATTCAAGGCGGGCTCTGCGCTGACAGCAGAGACAGCCTGATGCAGGACTTGAACTCACGACCCGTGAGATCATGACCTCAGCTGAAGTCAGACATTTAACCGTCTGAGCCACCCAGGCACCCCAATATGCTTTTGTTTTTATGGGGCACCTGCATGGCTCATCAGTTGAGTGTCTGACTCTTGATTTCAGCTCAGGTCATGATCCAAGGATCACAGGACTGAGACCCATGAAGGGCTTGACACTGAGGGCCAAGGCTGCTTAAGATGCTCTTTCTCCCCCTGCCCCTCTCCCCACTCGCACTCTCTCTCTAAAATAAAAAACATTTTAAAAAAGAAAGAAATTTGGGGGCGCCAGGATGGCTTAGTCAGTTGAGCGTCTGACTCTTGTTTCTGGCTCAGGTCATGAACTCGCAGTTCGTGGGTTTGAGCCCCGCGTCAGGCTCCGCGCTGACAGAGCTGAGCCTGCAGGAGACTCTCTCTCTCTCTCTCTCTCTCTCTGTGCCCCACCCCCACCCCATGCGTGTGCATGTCTGCTCTAAGTAAATAAACAAACATTTTTAAAAAAAATATGCTTTTGTTTTAAACATCTTGGCTAAAAAAGTCAATGTGAAAGAAGGCGGCCTAAACATTTCTGTTAACTCTGGTTATTTACGCTATTTGATTACTCATAGGGAGCCTCTGCTTCTCGGGGGTCTTCTCCTCCCGCTCTCTCTGCTCCATCTGCAGGCCCCCGCCAGCCTGGTGAGCCACACGCCACCCCTCCATCCTGCCTCCAGGGCCTGCTCCGCACGGTGCCCCCCCACCTGGGCCGCCGCTCCCATCCTTCCCTCGGAAGCACTTTCGCGTCCCAGGCTGCCGGGCTCAGGGCTCAGGGCTCAGCCGAACACCGCCTCCTCTGCTGACCCCACCACGCCCATTCTCCCTCGGTGAGATTGGTCTCCTGGCACCCGTGCTGCGGCGCCAACGCGCCCTCCTGGTACCCTGCACACTTACATCGCCTGACCTGTAACTTTTCCTTCCTGGCCATGAGGCCCAGAAGAGCAAGGAACATGATTCACCTATGCAGTGGTGGTCAGTAAGCATCTGATGAATGGAGTTTTAACTGAGCCATAAATCCTGGCATCGTTTCTCTGTATTTTAAAAACGGTTTAAAGTTGTGTTCAGTTCTAGCTTTTGTTTTCCAGAAGGGTTTAACGTACCTCTTCAGTTTAAATGTTTATTCACTTTATAACTAAAGAAAGCAAGATTTCATTTCCCTAAAAAAAGATGCAATTCTTTAATATTTTTAAAGGCTTAGATGTAAGATTACATTGAGTCAAAAAAAAAAAAAGGCAAGTAATTATAAAAAGAGTTAATGGCTGGAACATGTTTGAAAATGATCTCCCAGGAATTGTGCTGAGTCCGGGGCTAGAAAGCTTGGGCTCCGTCCCAGGGAACCCGAGACCAGGAGAGACAGAGACGTGCGCTTAACACACACCCCACCCAGCTACACGTCCTCCCCCTTCTGAGACCGGGCTATATACTCCCTGCGGAAGAAACGGGAATTCCTTAAAAAATATACGTGCATTCTGCCCAGGCGCAGCAGAAAGGCTGGACTGGTATACACGTACGGATGAAGGAACTAAGCAGACAAAGTATTCCTATTCATCAGAGGACTTCTGAGCCAAACATTAAAAACTCTGTATTACACATTTTGTAAGTTACAAATAAAAGAAAGTTATGCTATAGGTGATCAATAATGAAACATACAGCATTACCTACTACTCCCATATCTGTCCATACTGAAAGAGCCATGCCTGACCACCATCTTGACAGGGGGCTGGTGTCAGCAAGGACTCCAAGCATCACATGAACAGGCTTTTAACAAAGCCATCCAGTTTCTCCAGTGTGTCACTAACGGGATCGAAACAAAAAGGTGATTCTGGCTACACTGAAAAGCAGCAAATCACAAGGGATTAGTATTAACGGCCAAGTTTCTTGTGCATCTACATGTCAGCCCGGTTATAGATGCCTGACCTACGTCATCTCAATTACTACCCCCAATACCCGAAAACACAGAAAGGTATCCCCATTCGACAGAAAAGTTAACAGGTTCAAAGAGTTCAAATAGTTGGCCCAGTGACACAAGCCTGCTAAGTAGGAAAGCTGGGATTTAATTCTAAAGCCTATGTGCTTTCCCTTACGGCCTCTCTAGGAGGGCAGGTGTTTGATGCTAACCTGGAACATCACGCCGCTGCACAGAGCACGTATCGAACAAAACCAAGCAGCACAGTGATGGGGAGCCTGGGCAGCTCCACCGCTCACCAGTCTTCCACTCTCACCACACGATTCACACCCGTGCTTTGGCAAAATGTCCAGTTCGCTACATGAGTTGGGCCATCAGGTAATAACCATAACTAAATGTCCAACCCACAGGTGACAGTGGTCTGCTTCTGGCAACCAGCAATACTTGCATTTATTCTAAGGACTGAAGCAGAAATGACTGTATACATACTGCAGGATAAAGCACCGTAACTTATCATGATACCGGGCACCCAAATTTTCTGTGTAAGAGAAAAGAGATTCAACTATAATGTTCAAGAGGTTTCAAAGGTCTATAATGTTACATTTGAAATGGAAATATTAATTCCAAATCATAATTTTTAACACGCTATATTTCTATCTAAGCTCTTTCCGTTGGAAGTGATCACAGTGTCATAGCAATGAGCACCCCCAACACCCTACTTGTGTTTTCTAAACACCTGTCCCCTAACAAACATCAGAACTCCTCGGAGTCCTGGCTGACTGCGGATCTAGGAAAAGCAATATAAATGGGACCCTTGGAAATCCTGAACCAGAACAAGGCAGTAACCAAAGACTGATGGATTCATGTCCAGAGAACACAAGAATAAGCTTAAAGCGAGTCCCAGTGACAACCTTGTGGACAACCTGAGCATCCAAAGAAGAGAGTGAAACTGACTGAAAGACACTACATATATAAAATTCCTTGTGTCTATGATGCCACTCAAAAAAATGAAAGCCTTACCCAACAAGAAAAGGAAGAAAAAAACCAAACTCTATTTGCTTCCACTGGAGGTGAATATTAAATCGACTCTTTACTCTGAAAATTGGTACTTAAAAAAAAAGAATCAATTACTTATCTTGCATTTTTAGTAGGAACTACAATACAGATTAATCAGAGCCCCAGTCAATGAGGTGAAGCTCCTTTACACAGAAGAACGCCAAGTTCATAAATGCAAAAGAAAAGGCACAATAAGAAAAGTCACCAATCAAACCCTTACAGGAGAATTCATTCAAACAAGGACTGGGAATGGATGCTAAATCAGTAAATCAAAGAGTCAGGTGGAAGGGGCGCCTGGGTAGCTTAGTCGGTTAAGCAACGGACTCTTGGTTTCTGCTCAGCTCATGATCTCAGGGTTCATGGGATGGAGCCCCACATAAGGCTCTGCACTGACAGCGTGGAGCCTGTCTGGAATTCTCTCTCTCCCTCTCTCTCTGACCCTCCCCTGCTCGTGCTCTCTCGCTCTCTCTCTCTCAAATATGAACAAACTTTAAAAAAAGTTAGGTGGCAACCTAGATACTCACAGTGCCCAAGTATCACCTCACAGATTACTTGTTAGCTGCAAAGGGGGAAAAAGTTTAACTTTTCCACAATGAGGTGTGGCTGTCAAAATGTAAGCAATCAAAAGTAACATCACCATTAAAGATATAACCAGAAAGCAATACCTCCTGGTGTGAGGCACGGTGAACATGGCATCACCCACAAAACACTGTCCAAAAATTTCTAACTTAAATCAAGCCTTTAGGTCCAATTTTTCATTTATAAGAAAGAAAGGGAAACAAATCAAGTTAAATAACACCAGGAAGAAACACCCAGATAAATCCAAGATGTGGGTCGTTCTACAAGACGTTATCGTCAGACTCTTCAGGCCAGAACCTTCAACACGTTTCTGTGATGGCACAAAGGGAGCTGCAGGGGCTCAGGGGAGACCAGGAGAGGTTTGGAGCACGGCCACCGGACGCGAGCGTGAAGCCGGCCTCGCTCACACTCGAGCACCTTCAGCAGAGGATGTGTCCTCAGGACCTCCTCAAATGCAAATGTTCAGGAAAACCAAACTGGGACAAAAAACCACAGAATATTTTTATTACCTTTCCAGCCGACGGAAGTTGGCATTTCACTGTACTCTACTCACCTCCACTTAGCAGCTTCATGACGAGCCACAGCTCGTCCTTTACCACGAAGGACGTGTAGTAAGACACAATATTAGGGTGATGGCACTGACTCATGGCTTGAATTTCTTTCTACAAGGAAGAGAAAGTATGAGAACTTATTACATGCAAGCCTACGATGAGACTAGAGGTTAGTGAATTCAGATTTGTAAATCGCGGTGTTACAGGCTCTGTGAGATCTCCACGGCTCTTTTAGGTTAGTTTTTTTTTTTTTTTTATTTTTTAATGCTTTATTTATTTCTGAGAGAGAGAGAGACAGTGTGAGCAGGGGAGGGTCAGAGAGAGAGGGAGACACAGACTCTGAAACGGGCTCCAGGCTCTGAGCTGTCAGCACAGAGCCCGACACGGAGCTCGAACCCACAAACCATGAGATCATGACCTGAGCCAAAGTCAGATGTTCAACCGACTGAGCCCCGCAGGCGCCCCTCTTTTAGTTTAGTTTAAACTAAAATCCCCTCAGTTTCCGTCAGTCCACTCGGGCTACTCACTCCACGCAATCTCTGAAGCTAGAAACATGCGCCTCTCCTCTGAGCCTCACACAGCAGCGCAGGGGCCTCCGCGGGGATACACATTTTCACTTCAAGGTGCCTTTGGAAAAAGCATCTTGGGAAATCTGGCTTTACAGCCACAGAGGATATGGACTCATACACAGAAGGTGGTTTTCGTTTTTGTTTTGTTGTGCTTTGTCGTTATTCTGGTGTTAAAGTTTACCTTTATTACTGGAGTACAGTTGAAATACAATGTTGGATTAGCTCTACGTACACAACACAGTCACTCGACAATCCTACATACTACTGCTGCTCACCACGGTTAAATGTAGACACATGACACCATTATCGTATTATTACTGACTGTATTCCCCACGCTGTACTTCCCAGCTCGGTGACTTACTTATTTATAACTGCAAGTTTACCTCTCTCCCATCGCCCTGCGCCCCTACGAGGAGACTGTTCTCCGTTGTCAACAGTCTGTGCTTTGTTTACTTGTTTCGTTTCTTAGATTCCACATGCAAGTGAAACCATATGCTATTTGTTTTGCTTTGTCTGACTTACTTCACCTACCATCCTTCCCTCTCGGTCCATGCATGTTGCCACAAATGGCACGGCGGCTCCATTATCTTTTATGTGTTAGTATTCCACTGTGTGTGTGTGTGTAAACTCCCATCTTTTCTACCCATTCATCTACAGATGGACACTTGCGCTGCTTCCATATCTTGGCAATGTAAGTAATGCTGCAATAAACCCCGGGGTGCAAATATCTTCTCCAACTAGTGTTTTCAAATAACCAGCAGTGGGATAATTCCTGGGTCATTCGGCAGTTCCATTTTCAAACTTTTGAGAGACTCCATACCGTTTTCCACAGTGGCCGCACCAGTCTGCATTCCCGCCAACAGGACCCGAGGGCTCCCTTTTCTCCACATCCTCACCAACACTTTCTGTTTCTTGTCTTTTTGATTTCTGGCAGGTACGCGGGGGTTCTGATTCGCCTTTCCCTGATGATGAGTGACGGTGAGCTTCTTCTTGTGAGTCTGTTGGGCATCTGTAGGTCTTCTTTGGGAAAATGTCTATTCAGGCAGAGGATCCTTTCTGGTTTGTGGGTTTTATTTTGAAAATACTGTTTCATCCCATTTTTGTGAAATAATTATCAATTCTCACTCTGAAAAGAAATCTCCTGAAACGGGGCAAGGCCATAAACTAAATCCCAAGTGGAAACCTGAGCACCCTCTAAGCTTGTCCCCCACCTCGGGGTTACGCATCTACATTGGGCTGGGGGAGATCAAATGCCTCATACGGCCGCGAGGGATCTGGGGCCTCCAGTCTCCATCCTACTCCCTCCACTGACCCTCCCCAAACAGCCCCCTCTGTCCAGCCACAGCACACTTCTTCAACCATGGACGTCTAACCTTACTGTTCCCTCTGCCTCAGACAGACTTCCTTCATTATTTTACCCTAGCTAAAAATGCCAATTCTTCCTTCTGATCTAGCCAAAGTATCATTTCCACCAGCGCCCCAAGTTTGCTTCCAAACTCCCTGTGTATCTCTACATCACGGCACACATGTACTGGATAGTACACTGGGTGCTTATTTATCTGTCCCTCCCTGGTGGGCTGAAAGCTCTCTGAAGGCAAGCACTTCCAAAAGTGGATCCCTAAATGCAAGCTGGTGCACATTACAAACACACACACACACACGACGGTCAGCCTAAAAATCTCACCATCTGCCGTAACACGGATGGCCTTAGAGGGTATAATGCCAAGTGAAATATGTCAGAGGAAGACAACATATGATTTCACTCATATGCAGAATTTAAAAAACAAAATAAACAAAGAAAATAAAGAGACAAACAAAAAAACAGACTCTTACATACAGAGAACAAATTGGTGGTTGCCAAGGGGGAAGTGGGTGGGGGATGGGTGAACCAGATAAAGAGAATTAAGAGTATACTTATCGTGATGAGCAATGGGTAGTGTACAAAACTGCTGAATCATTATATTGTACACCTGAAACTAATATGTAACAGTGTTTGTTAATTATACTTGAATTTTTAGGAATCCATGAAAAAAAGTAGATTCCCTAAACACTGCAGAACTTACCATATTCTACAGTAATTGTTTATTTATTTTTCTGTATCCTTCACAAAACTTTAAGCTCAGTGAAAGCTAAGACTCTGTATTCCTGGCACGTAATTAACGCTGTGCCTGGCACACAGAACACCTTCAATAAATATTTATTGAATGAATTAAATATTATATTACTTTATACAACTTTTTACTTATTCAGTGACTGTACTTGCCCTATGCCCTTGGTATTTGTACAGCAGAATCAATCGTGTAAAACTTGCCCATAGTCTCTGATTCAAGAGCAGCGCCCTGTGAGCCATAGTCTATTCTTGTCTTCTCAACTGGAATGTCAATTCCTTTATGGCAAGGATCTTGCCTCACACATTTTTCCAACCTCTTAAGTCACCAGCACAGTCATCTGTACTAAAGCCCAAGTAAAACCAAAGTAAACACCTGCCTGTTGACATAGTTCTACAGAGATTAGGAGAGATAAGAGCAGTACACGAGAGGAACATACAGAACCACACACATTGTGGCGAGTTGTAAAGACAGCGGGCGTTACGAGAATCCTCTAGAAAGAATGAAGGCAGGTAAGAAGTCCTCGCAAAGGAGATGAGGGGCAGGTTCAGTGCTGCGGGACACGGGAAACGGCGGTGGCAGCAGGCGGGAGGCGCGCGGACAGATGAACTCTGCAGGGCCTGCTTCAGGACCCGATGAGTAAACCTGTCTAAGGCAAGCAGTTCGCGCTTTCGACAGGGATCTACCGACAGGGATCTACCGACAGGGATCTACCAACGTGCTGGGCGCTTGAATGTGACAGGGAGCCCTCGGGACCCTTCCGGTCTGGTGAAGAAGTTAGATACTAATTTAACACACAAGAAGCAGTTTGATAGGAAAGTACGAGACACTGCACGATTCCACCGGAGTGGCAAAGTATCTAAAAGCCGGAGTGACCCGCAGAGGCGGCCTCCTGTGAGCTGAACCAGCTGACACAGGAAGGGTAAGGAGGCTTTCCAGGTTTGACTGCTGGCTCACCTGGGACCGTATCGTGAAGGACTCCGTGTGTTCAAGAATTCAGGCTTCATCTTAACAGCAAAGGGACGGCACCAGAGGTTTAAGTATCTGTGCCATTTCATACAAGCCACTCGGGCTACAATTAGAAAATACGTGTGGGAAGGCAAGGCCGGAGGCGAAGATGCCGCCCAAGGCTGTTGCTATGGCCCGGGCGAGGGGCGATGGTGGCCTGAAATGATCAGTAACTAGTTACTCAGTTTGGGTAATTACACTGTGGTCACGTTACCGTCAGGAGAGCCTGGGTCAACAGTATATGGGAACTTTCTGTACTTCTTTTGCAACTCTTCTAGAAGTTTAAAACTATCTCAAAATATAGTTCTAGGGGTGCCTGGGTGGCTGTCGGGTGAGCGTCCAGCTCTTGATTTTGGCTGAAGTCATGATCTGCAGGTTCGTGCGGCTGAGGCCAGCATCAGGCTCTGCGCTGACAAGACAGAAGAGATGTCAGGACAGAGCCCGAAGCGGGGCTCCGACTCACGAACCATGAGCTCATGACCTGAGCCAAAACCAGGAGCTGGACACTTAATCAGCCAAGCCACCCAGGGGACCCCACCTCCCCGACATTTACAGATGGGAGAATTGTTTGTATGAGTGAATGAATTAGCGCTGTTCGGGGCTGACTGAGTGGGGTGAGAGCAGTGCTTGCACTGGGGGACTCAGAGAACAGGACTAAATGTCAGACGTCCGGCTAAGCTCCAGGAATGAAAAGTCACCATTAAGCGATACTTGGGAAAGCTTCCGGCCGGACCGAAGTCCGCACAAAAGCTGTGGCGGCAGCAGGTAAGGGGACTGTCGAGAAAGTGCTTTGAGCAGGAGGAAGGGAGCTGCTGGGAAATCCTGAGTCAGAGCAATACGGTGCCCTGGCAAAGCACGTACATGCTTATTTTTCCTTTTGAAACAAATTCAAAATCACACCACCGAAAGTTTGGTATGTTGATCTTAAAGGTTTTTAAGGTAAACAAAAGGGCTTCTTAACTCTCCGAAACAGAGCCCTTCTCACTCAGCTCTCGGTCCCGACCCTACAAACACTGCAAAGAAACCCGGCATTCTTTATATTCCCGAAGTTTCCTCAGGCTTTGGTGGGACCTTACTTGTGTGCCGCCTCCAAAAAGCCAATTATCTTAAAGTTACTTCACTAAAAGTCACTCCCTCCTCCCTTCACTCATTTGCCAAATACTGAAATACTCTATCACGAAGCTACACCAAACATGCATTCCTCCGCAAGTAAGGCTCCCGTGTAATAACATAGATATTACTTTCAAGATGTCAAATATCTGAGAACAGATGTTCTTTCTACTTGTGAACCAATATTATAATTAGTTAGTATTATGTGAAGAAGAAAATAGCAGACCTGACTCAGAAAGACCTGCTTTCTAACCCGGACACTGTCGCGTGTCGTAGGATTTACTTCCTTCATCTAAAATGGAGCTACTGGCTGCCTCGTGGAGGCCTTTCGGAGGGTAAAGTCCGCTTAAGCGCCTGACACTGAAGAGATGTTTGCTATGATCATCATGTGAACACAGTCAAGTTATTTAACCTTTGAACTTCCATTTCTTTAGTCATTAAGTAATAAATAAGAAGACTTTCATTCACCTTCATGCTCTCCTTAAGGGTTCTGTAAAATAACTGACAAATGATACACATTCGTACCGGCTGGGCTTCTCAAATTCCAGCCTTAATATATAGTAAAAATTTTGCTTTTCCTCGAGGGGCACCTGAGCGGTTCAGTCAGCTAAGTGTCCGACGTTAGCACAGGTCATGATTCTCGCCGTTTCTGAGTTCGAGTCCCGCCTCAGGCTCTCCTCTGTCAGAGTCCACTTCAGATCCTTTGTCCCTCTCTCTCCGCCCCTCACAGGCACTCTCCCTCTCTCTCAAAAATACACATTTAAAAAAAATTGTTTCTCCTCAAGAGAATGAGTTTACAATTCACAGCCTTCCTGCAGAATCACTGCAGTTCGATATCCAAATGGCGCTCTAGTCGGCCGCGGGCACGGGTGACTCCAAGATCACTCGCAGGAGCTCCTTCAGCACCTCCCTTCTCGTGTGTGCTCTCCCACCGGAGAGGCTCAGGGTCGGACCAGCGACTTTCTTCTTCAGCTTCTGCTCATCCATGACTGACTCCTAAAGAGAAGCGTCCGTTTCCCCTGCTCAAAGTCCGCTGCGTAACCCTGTCACCTCTTTCCCTCGTGTCCCGGGCCCCCCTGATACTCAGCACGGGCCACACCAGAAATTAAGCCCGAGCCGGGAGCGGCTCATCCCAGCCCCGGCCCCGCCTTTCCATCACCGACTAACTGCACGTGATCTTCGACAAATACTTGGGACGGTCACTGTATTAGTTCACATTTGCGTGGCAGTTTAGAGCTTTCAAGTCCTGGATCATTTGGTCCTCAAGAAAAACCTCCTGCGGTACACAAAGCAGCTATTACCATTTCCATCTTAAGCCAAAGGAACTGAGGATTTACAAGGTGAAATGATCTGAAAATCGACTCGTGGCCTCTTGCTGAAAGCGACCACATGTCCGCAACAGCCGTGGCGTCATGGCTCATGGACGAGGAACAACACAACGTCTGTGTGACTAGCTTTTAACGCCACAGAGCCCCTCCCGCAGCCGGCCCTCCGTGAGACTCTCCTCTCTCCTCCCCCAGCCCTCGGAGGAGGCGACGCTGCCGGCGGCCACTCTGCCTCTCACCCTGTGAACGGGCGCAATGCAGACTGGGGCCCAAAGCCTCGTTTCAAGCATATTCCTCTTGCCCCAGGTATCATAACCGTGTGGTACCAGCATGACACCAGCTTAAGGAAAGAGACGAGTAAGGAAGCAGGGTTTGTAATGATAAAATTAATCGTCTAATATTAGAAATAGGTTAAATGAAACGTGGTCTGCCTTTGCAAGGGAACAGCACACACATACCGAAAAACATATGAATTCGCTATTTACGGACACAGAAAAAAATTGATAAATTTTCCAATGAAAAGAACAAGTAAATGACATTACCATAAAAATATAAAGATATCTGAATGTGCACACTCTAAAAACTATATAGCAAGAATTAATCTCAGAATGGGAGGATTACGACTAATTTTTTTGTTTACCTGGATTTTTATAAATTTTACAATAAACAATACTTAATTTACAATATTTTACTTATTTTACAAATTTACAAAAAACATTACTTAGCCTTTTTTTAGAAAAGCAATAAAAAATATCAGGTTCTCTCCCACTTCACCGCGAACACACACTGGAGTATATTTCTGCACGTAATAAACAGGAGAGGCGCCTACCAGGAGCTCATCCATGCTAGTTTGACATTTCTCAAGGTTTATGCGTTTGATCGCCACCTTCTCCTTTTTAGGGGTACAGTACGCTGCCTGGACCACAGCCGTTGCTCCGCTCCCTAAAGATAAATACACAGCAAGTGAGTAAACACGAATAGGTAAGAACATGGCATTTCTAATCCCCACACAACCGAACAATAACCCTTATGTTGCTCCTGCACTCAACAACGCATGACACCCTAAAAAGCAGCCTTGACAATCTCAGAACTGCTGACAGATACCAGCGGGCGGGGCGCCTGGTGGCTCGGTGGCTTCCGACTTTGGCTCACGTCATGATCTCATGGTCTGTGGGTTCAAGCCCCATGTAGGACTCTGCGCTGACAGCTCGGAGCCTGGAGCCTGTCTTCGGATTCTGTGTCTCCCTCTCTCTCTCTGTCCCTCCGACGCTTGCGCTTGCTCACACACACACTCTCTCTCTCTCCATAAATACACATTAAATAAATAAATAAATAAATAAATAAATAAATAAATAAATGCTGGCAGGGAGGGAGAGTCAAGACGACCACAGGCCCAGCTGTGGAGTGTGAGGGTGCGGGATCACACATCCCTGCTGCTCACTTCTGAATACACGGAGTAGCCTAGAAATAATTCAATGGACAATCACAAGATGACCCTGAAAGGCAGAAAGAAGTTAGATGAGCCAGGGGCCCCCGGATGTGAGAAGCACCGCGGTGAGTTCCCTGGGCTTCCTTCTACCTCACGCGTACCCATGCCTGGGCACAGGAACGGCTTCCAACCGGGAGCCACCAACACAGACAGACAAATGAACAAGAAAATCCTGCTTTTCGGCCAAAGGACTGTGAAAGGGGAAGCTTAGCAGAGACTGAGAAGGCAGACGGACTCCCCAGTCCTAGTCCAGGACAGCGGAGGGTCCCAGTCCCCTGTCCTTGCCCCGGACATCGGAGGGTCCCACGCCAGCACATCACAGCATGAGCAGGACCCGCGCTCACCCCCAGCCAGCAGGCGGCCGGACGTGCCACCCCTGGGGCCATGCGCAGGCGACCTGCCCTCAGCAGTCACAGAGACGGGGCCCGCAGCCACCAGCCGGCCCAGGCAGCACCTGTAGAGATCAAGCAGGGCTTCCTGTGAGGCCAGAATAACGGAGAAGGAAGAGCACTGCCGGAGCTCGGGCAGCTCCATCATCGCAGGGATGACCCAGCTCACGGAAGCGGGCCCGAGGCGGGGCGGCTCAGCGCCAGAGCATCTGACTGCACGGCAGCGGGCCCGGGCCTGCACACAGAACCTACACAGACTTAGTGCCACTAAAACAGAAGACGTAAAGAGGATCAAGAGTCTCCTCACATTAGTATCTTAAATGTCAGGATAAAACTTTTTTAAACCGCATACCAAGAATCAGGAAAAACATACTTGAATGAGAAAGAGAACCACACTGATGCCAAAACCAAAATCTGTCACAATTCGGGATTATCTGACAAGAATTTTAAAGCAGTCATCATAAAAATGCTTTGATAAACAATTAAGAATTCCCCTAAATAAAAAATAGAAAATTTCAGCAAAGAAACAGAAGTTATTTTTTAAAAACTACTCAATGGAAATTATGTGTACAACTGAAATACGCAATTTCCAAAATAAGAAAGTGCTGGATAGGCTTAATAGTAGAGATGACGGAGGGTAAATCTGGTGAGCCTGGGGACAAGATCGACAGTACACTCAATCTAAACAACAGAGAAAATGGGCTGGAAAAAAAAAAAAGAAAAAAAGAACAGACGCTCAGGGAGCAGTGGATAATAATAAAAAATCCAACGCCCACATGGTAGGTAGGATAAGGGGCCCCACGGTGTCCATGTCCTAACCTTTGGGTGAATGTAACTTATATGGCAAAAAGACTGCATGGTTATTATGTGACATTAAGGATGAGAAGATTACCCTGGATCATCTGGGTGGGCCCAATGTAATGATAAGGGTCTTTCTTTATAAGAGGGAGGCAGAGAGGCGGAGTCGGAGAAGAGAGGAGGGAAGCGGAGGTCAGAGCCATAGGACCGGGGCCGAGGAGCAAGCACTGATACACATAACCACAGGCCTAACCCTGAAAACATCATGCTGTGTGAAATGAACCAATCCAAACTGCAGGACTCCATTCATGCAAAATGTCCAAATCAGGCAAATCCATACAGAAAATAGATTACTAGTTGCCCGGGGTAGGAAGAGAAGACCATGGGAAGTTACTGCGTAAGGGGAACAAGATTCTTTCTGGGACAATGAAAACCTCTGGATGTAGATGATGGTTGCAAAATCATGTGAATATGCTAAAAAACCACTGAAATATACACTTTTTAAGTGGCGGGTTTTGGGGCACCTGGGTCGTTGAGTGGGTTAAGTGTCTGAATCCTGGGGCGCCTGGGTGGCTCAGTCGGTTAAGCGTCTGACTTCAGCTCAGGTAATGATCTCAGAGCTCGTGGGTTCAAGCCCCATGTCGGGCTCTGTGCTGACAGCTCAGAGCCTGGAGCCTGTTTCAGAGTCTGTGACTCCCTCTCTCTCTGACCCTCCCCTGCTCATGCTCGCTCGCTCTCTCTCTCTCTCTCTCAGAAATAAATAAAACATAAAAAAAAAAAAAAGTGTCCGACTCTTGATTTCAGCTCAGGTCATGATCTCACGGTTCATGATATGGAGCCCATGCTGTCAGTTTGGAGCCTGCTTGAGATTCTCATTCTCATTCTCTCTCTCTCTATCCCTCTCTCTCTGCCCTTCCCCCGCTGGCATGAGCTTTCTCTCTCTCTCAAAACAAACAGTAAAAAATAAACAAAATGGTGGGTATTGTTATGTGATGTTTACTTCAAATTTCTAAAAGAGAAGAGACTACTACCAGCAACTTTACTTCACGTAATTCCACAATTCCAAAACATGGGCCAATTCTTTGAAAACTGTCAAAACTCAGCCAAGATGCAACAGATAACCTGAATAATACTAAGCTTATTAAAGAAATCAGATTTGTAATTGAAAAGTTCTTTTAAAAACCCCCAGAACTTTACCTGACACCGACAAAAGGATTAATAGCCATTTTACATTTTCCAGAAGTGGAAGAAGTGGGGACACCTCTCCGCTCACTTTATGGAACCAGCTATTGCCAACGCCAAAGCCAGACAACTCGAAGAATTAGGAAAATTACAGACCAATGTCTCTCATGAACTCAGCTGTAAAATCCTTAACAAAATTTTAACACATTGAATCCAAAATAGCTAAGCGGCCTATTCCACGTATGGAAGGCCGGTGCAATACGAAGAAAAAAACACTGCAATACATTATATCAACAAACCAAAGGGGGAAAAAAATCACATATCAATTAACACAGAAAAACACCTCTTAAATTCAACACCATTCATAAGAAAAAGCTCTCAGCAAACTAGGAAGACGGGAACTTCTTCAACTTCATAAAGAACACCTACAAAAGGGCCGCCTGGGTGGCTCAGTGGGTTAAGTGTCCGGCTTCAGCTCAGGTTAGGATCTCAGTTTGTGAGTTCGAGCCCCGCGTCGGGCTCAGAGCCTGGCGCTGCCTCAGGTTCTGTGTCCTCCTCTCCCTCTGCCCCTCCCGTGCTTGTGCCTTCTTCTCTCTCAAAAATAAACATTAAAAACAATTTAAAAAGAACAGCTACAAAAAGCCTGACAGCAAACAACATACGTAATGGTGAACGACTGAATGCCTGTGAACTGGGAAAGGAAGGATGTCCATTCTCCTCACTCTTAGGCCACACAGTCCCAGAATCCTAGCCATCATTATGGAGCAGGAAAAGAGAGAGAAAAAAAAGCATCCAAGTTGGAAAAGAAGAAATAAAAATGTCCTTACTTTAGATGATGTGATGGTCCCTAAAGACCCCAAGGAATCTGTAAGAACAGCTCTCAGAACTTACAAGACAGGTTAGCAAGGCTGCACCAGAAAAAAAAAAAAAATCAACACATGAAACCAACCCATTTCCATATATGAACAACAAATAAGTGGAAACCTGCTCCCCTAAAATGAAATACTGCAGAAGAACGAAATGGTATAAATCCAAGAAAATATGACGAGGATCCATACACCGCAAATTACAAAACACTGACGAAAGAAAGCAAAGAGGAGCTAAGTGACTGGCAAGACTTACCACGCTCGTGGGATTAGAAAACTCAACGTGCTGAACTGTCAACCTCCCCCAAATGACTATATACAGGTTTAACGCAATTCCTAGCAAAACCCCAGCAAGGTATTCACTCTGTACAAATAGACAAGCTTACTCTAAAATCTACATGAAGAGGGAAGGCCCTAGAATAGCCAGCACAAAAATGAAGAACAAAGTTAAAGGATTCAGACTTATTACAGGTCCAAACTTTCAGTTATAAAATAAATACATCGTGGGGATAGAAAGTACAGTACATCATATCCTAGTCAATGATACTGGAATAACTTTATACAGTGATAAACGGTATCTAGACTTACCGTGCAGATCATCTCATAATGTATAAAAATATCAAATCACCACGACGTACACCTGGTCCTAACAGGATACTACATGACGATTACACTTATGTGAAAAATACATAGTAGGTTCTCAATAAATAAATGCTGATTGAGGACTTGTTATACAGTTAGACTCATTAAGACAATGTGGTTTTGGCAGAAGGACAGAAACACACACACTAGACGAGAGAACCAAAGAAAGATTCACACAAATCAGTCCCACTGATTTCTGACAAAGGTGCAAAAGCAGTTTGATGGATAAGCTACCAGAATGGCTTCACAAAAATGTCTCTGAAAGTGACAATACCAGGGCGCCTAGGTGGCTCAATCGGTTAACTGTTCTACTCTTGACTTGGGCTTGGGTCATGATCTCACGGTTCGTGAGATCGAGCCCCACATTGGGCTTTGTGCTGACAGCACGGAACCTGCTTGGGATTTCTTTCTCTCCATCTCTCTCTGCCCCTCCCCTGCTTGCGCATGCGCTCGCACTCTCTCTCTCTCAAAATAAATAAACAGTAAGTAAGTAAATAAATAAAGTGATAATAGCAAATGCTGGTAAGGATGTGATGAAACGGGATCATTCATGCATTGCTAATGGAAATCCAAAAA